TATTTACTTTTCGCCTGTCTTTCATTTACATTTTCGCCCGTTTTTATTTCTACCTCATTAAACAACCCCTTGGGTTGGGGTTCTATATTTTCTCTTAAATATGCAGAAATGTCTTAAAAAAATGTATACATGGTAACCTTAACTCTTCAAAAGATTATCAGGCTAAGAAAGGAATTTTATTTTCAGCAAGATTCCCCCTCCCACATCGTGATGTACAATAATACCTGAATTAAATCTTGCTAAACAGATGGAACGTAAAATATGGTTCTGGAGAATATCCTGCTCGTTCCCCTGATCTCAATACTTTAGACTATTTCTTGTGGGTGTACTTAAATTATAAAGTCTACGCTAAAAAGGCAGTAACAAACACTGAAATGAATGTTTCCATAGAGCAAGAATGCTGCCAAATACATAGTCGGCCAGAAGTCTTTTAAAACTTTTCAACAAAGATTTTGTTTACTGCTGAAGCAAATTTTTATGTCATTGGAGAGGTCCATCGACAATGGTCATCAAGTGTGTCGGTTTTTGGATTGGCAGTTTCCGGATGTTTGGATTGGTCGGCGTGATCCTTTGGAGTAGCCTCCAAGATCCCCAGATCTCTCCTAGCTTGATTTCTAAGTATATGCAGTACATAGTGAGCTTACGATCCATCATTTGGTAAATTGGAAAAAGAGGCATCGTTATAAGTAATAATTTTAAAATGTTCTAAGTTTACTAAATCTGGAATGTCTAAGATTTTTCCTTTTTTTTCCCTTTCTTAACTACTCTGTTAGTGTGACTTATGCATTCTACTTGTTTTAATATTCAGGGTGGGCCGTAAGTTTCCATACAGATGGAATTCTGTGAATGGGCATTAACCAAAGTGAACGAGGATGCAAACTTTTCAACAAAGATTTTGTTTACTGATGAAGCAAATGTTTATGTCATTGGAGAGGTCCATCGAAAAATCTACGTTATTGGATTAATGAGAAACCTAACTGGCTGATTTCGACAAAGATGCAAGATGGTTATAAATTAATGGTTTGGAATAGGATAACGGGTGACAGAATGATTTGACCAATTTTTGTCAGTGAAAATCTTAATACGGAAAGCTATCTTAACATGTTTCAAGAGGAAATTCTTCCATTCCTCTTAAACGAGGAAAGTGACTACCCAGTTTACTTCCAGCAAGATGGAGCTCCACCTCATTATGGTCATCAAGTGTGTCGGTTTTTGGATTTGGCAGTTTCCGGAAGTTTGGATTGGTCGGCATGATCCTGTGGAGTGGCCTCCAAGATCCCCAGATCTCTCCTAGCTTGATTTCTGTCTTTGGGGGCACTTAAAGGCCATTGTGTATCAGGGGAAGATACAACATAAATTATCTTGAGGAATGTATCACCGACACCATTAAAAGCCTAACATTAACTCTGCTAATGCGTGTATATCGAAAGTGGAAAACACATATTAATGTGTTTTCGAAACAATGGTAATTATATAGAGCACATTATATAAATAAAAATGGTTGTTCAATATGAAATGTTTATATTTTTTTTTGTATGGAAATTTATGGCCAACCCTGTACATATAAAAATGTTGATTAATGCTTGTTATTCTAATGATTGTTGATTTTATTTGTTTAACGGCATAACAACTTCTCCATGGATCATTTACTTCCAGCAAGATGGAGTTCTAACTCATGGTCATTAAATGTGTTGGTTTTTGGATTGGAAGTTTCCGGAGGCTTGGATTGGTCGGCGTGATCCTGGGGAGTGGGCTCCAAGATCTCCAGATCTCTCCTAGCTTGATTTCTAAGTATATGCAGTACATAGTGTCCTTGTTATCCATTATTTGGTAAATTGGCAAAAGTGGCATCGTTATAAGTAATAATTTTAAAATGTTCTAAGTTTGCTAAATCTGGAATGTCTAAGATTTTTCCTTTTTTGCCTTTCTTAACTACTCTGTTAATGTGATTTATGTGTTCTACTTTGACTTGTTTTAATATACAGGGTGGGCCGTAAATTGGCATTAAATAAACAAGGATGTAAACTTTTCAACTAAGATTTTGTTTACTTACGAAGCTAATTTTTACGTCAATGGAAAGGTTAATCGGCAAAACATACGTTATTGGAGTAATGAGTCTCCTAATGAAGTTGCTAGGTACAGATAAATTGACGATGTCCTCCGGGATATGGGGGTGATAGAATTATCGGACAAATTTTTGTAAGTGAAAATCTTAATGCAGAAAGCTATCTTAACATATTCCAAGAGGGAATTCTCCATGGAGTAATTAGAACCCGAACTGGCTGAGTCCGAATAAGATGCAAGGTGCCAGTAAATTGATGGTGTGGGCCCGGATATGGGATGACAGAATTATTGGACCCATTTTTGCCAGTGAAAACCTTAATGCAGAAAGGTATCTTAACAAGAGGAAATTCTTCCATCCCTGCTAAACGAGGAAGATGACTACCCAATTTACTTCCAGCAAGATGGAGTTCCAAATCATTATGGTCATCAGATGCGTCGGTTTTTCGGATTGGCAGTTTCCGGAGGCTTGGATGGGCCGGCGAGGTTCTGTGGAGCGGCCTACAAGATCCCCAGATCTCTGCCCACACTTGATTTCTATCTTTGGGGACACTTGATGGCCGTGGTTTTATCAGGTGAAGATATGAGACATAAATCATCTCAAGGAACATGTCACCAACGCCATTACAAGCAGAACTTCAAATGTGTTTACGCCTCTTCATCAAAAGTGGGGAACACGTATCAATATGTGTTTTTGAAACAATGGTAATCATATAAAAACATTGTATAAATAAAAACGGTTGTCCAATATTAAATGTTTATTTTTTTCTATGTATGGAAATTTATGGCCAACCCTGTACATATAAAAATGTTCACTACTGCTTGTTATTCCAATGATTGTTGATTTTATTTGTTTAACGGCATAAAAACGTCTCCATGGGTCAATTAATGCCGAAATTTAATTTTCTTGGGTGTATTGAAGTAATAAAAATACGATATGTTATTCTGCTCTCACAATTGAATACATGGTAGATGATACTCAGGTTTTGTGCATATACATTTTTGTTTGGACAGGATTACTAGAGGTGGTGATATGTTTGTTTTATGTTGTAGTTTTGTTAAAGTCATATTTTGGAATATTGTTTGATTTTTAAAAAAAAATGTCAAACGAGTTCTTTTATGTTGGTTCGTTAGTTTTGTTTAGCAGCATATCAACACCTCTATGGGTTATTTAATACCGAAATGTCGGAACACAGTTTTATGGCGTCAGCTAAATATATTCTGAACGCAGTTGTATACATTCAACTACAGATAAAATGTATTACTGGTTATTTTCTGTAAAATGCATTGTTGGTCATTTTACTAGTAATATGTATTGTTGGTCCTTTTTAGATAAATATATCTTTTTGTAATGTCAACGAACACTCGTTGCCACTTTTGTAATGCCAACAAATACTCGTTGTCACTTTCGTAATGCTCGTTGTAGTAGAGACTTTGTAATCGCAGATACAACTATAGTAACGCCGTTGAGAAATGCTGGTGTCAGACGCCTTCGAAAATCAGTCGCTCGAATAGTAGCCACCGTATAGTAATCCGTGTCGTGATCAGTATAGAGAATAGCGCTCCATATAGTAATAGAGGATAGAATAGAAATGGTGATCGTTTAGACGCCACGCTTCTTCCTATGTACACATTTCTCTTACTCTCACGTGAACTACTTCAAAATGGGATCGACTGTGTTTGCTTACTGGTGATCTGTGTTCAAACACCAATGTCGGTAGTGACACTTTATTCTTATATAAACAATCTTGCCGGTATTTTTACTATAAATAAGCAGTTTTATACTTTCATAGTGTTTTGTTTTTGCTCGGGGATTTGCCCTTAGCTAAGACCTTAACAGGTGCTACCATCTTGAGGCAGGGTGGATGTGAGAACAAGAGCAATTAACCTGCAACCTCCAGATCAGAGGCCTCGCTGGTGGATGTGGGTTTATGATTCCATTGCGTTAGTCCCGTTATCGGTGATGTCTGGGTCAAAACTGTTATCTATTTGCAAACATGCGATGGCAAAATCTTAAGAACAGACATTTATAACAAATTCTGTCTTCCGATGCATTATTTAAATTAGTTACAGACGTTTCGAGTTTCTTTAATTATTTCTCGAGAAAGCTTCAAAATCTGTAGACATTTTTAGATGCCGCTTCGATACGAATTTTCTTCATAATTTTTTCTAAATATTATATACACATATATATATACATGTTCATGTATGTATGTATGTATATATATTAAATATAATATCGAACGTAGGCATATGTATTTTTATTATATATACTTCTTAGCCATGTCTAACCATACTGAGCACTGTTTCTTTATATATATATACACACAAAAGTGAATATTGAAGTCAACACTCAGAGGCGACTAGCATGAAACAATCTGTCACCTCTGAGTTTTGACTTCAATGTTCACTATATTCCATACTCTCTATCTCTGGTATTGAGCACTTTACCCCATAAATATATCACACCTTAAAACTATATTTCTTCACACACACAC